CTGGGAATGCATACAAAAATATTAATACACTGTAAAGGTATACACTGTAATTCAGAGGTTATTAATTTCATCAGTCAAAAAAGCCCACAGCTATCAGCCATATTATACTACCTACCTCAGATAGCATTCTATCGATACACCAAAATCAGTTATTTTCAACTGTTCGTATATTTTTCTTCCCATGTTTCTCACTGATATCAGCTCCTTAACAAGGTTTCCTTCCCTTAATTTTATAAGAAAAACTAACAAGAAGATGTCAAACAGAAAGGCAAAAAGACATGATAATTCACTGATGCAGTTCAAAGATGCTACATAAAACAGGTTTCACCACTGAAGGTTGATCCCTTTTCCAATGCAAAACCTGATTCACTTGTTCTTTAAAGAAAAAAAATTTTGTTAGCGTCCCGTTCAACATGCTTTGTCTGCAGTATATAGAAATCTTATTCACTGGACAAACTTTTTTTTTTGCAAAGAGTTTATAAAATTCACATAATCTCAACACTGAGACATTCATCTGAACTCCTTATTACCAAAATTATGCTCATGTCCCCCATTACCCAGGAATAATTAAGCTTACATGCTACTGAAAATAAAGTATTTAGATCGTAATAATGTCTGTATACATTTGTTCTAATTCATAGAAGTATTTTATTACAAAGAAAAATATAATCAGGTGAAGGTACAAAAGTTAAGAAGAATTTTTCAATATTAATTAATGCTTGAAGGTAGAATTATGCTTCTTTCAATTGGACCCATTAAAGGGGCTTTAATATAGATTTGCACAGCAAGCTGAAGATTTTCAAGAGCAGATAATGAGGCAAGCCAGTACTATTTTAACCCCTCTAGAGTATAATCAGTTGATAAGGTTTTGAAACGTTACAAGGTCTAGGACAAAAAGATTAGCTTTAGTTCCTCCAGATCAAAATTGAAAGCTAATTAATTAACAATGTTATAAGAAAAGGTTTACTGCTATTTTTACACGTCTTTAATGCCATCTTCTAAAGAAAACAGGTTAAGATATTTTAATTTATCTGTTGTGTGAATGGCAGAAGACTGTTCCCTGCTCCAACATTATCTGCTAAACTAATTGCTTGAATTTAAAAATTTCACATATTCCCCAAAAAAACCTCACCTTACTTTTTAAGGAAAAAAACAGCATCAGCGATCTACTTAAGATACATGCAATTATTATAAATTAAACATGTTTAAAGTGTTTCCAAATAAAAAAAACCAATGAAAATATTTCTGCAGCAAAGTATCAGACTTCAGAAGAAGTAAAATTCTAAGCATCCTAGCCACTTAAACATAGCAGTGAGAAATTCTTTCCATTGAAACAGAGAAGTGATGCATGTACGTAATGGATATATAACTGCTAAGAAGAGAGTTTTGCAACACTGCATAAAACAAAAATAACTATTAAAAAAATCAGTATAGCAATCAAGACACTAACCTCAAAGGAATAAGATTTTTACCACACAGCATTTACAATAAATATATCTATATGCCAAATGAGGCCCAGTTGTGACTATCAGGACCAAAAGTTACAAATACACCAATTAAAAAAAAAATAAAAAAAGAAGGCAAGAAGGGAAAAGAATGGAAAACTCAAATACACTACATTCTGTGCTGCATTTACGTGCAATAATAGACAAGAATAATCTTAAGTGCTTTAACAAACTTATTTGAATATTTGAGTGGTACATCTTGAAATGTTCCACACTAAATCATATTTTAAATGTTTAACACAATATAAAGCTTTGGAATAAACTCATGAATAAAAAGGTCTTATTCATGTATATAAAACTGTAGATTACAACACCATAATTTAGGAGCAGTGAAAACATGAAGTTGTACTAAGCAAACAGAAGTTAAACAAATATACTGAAGTCCAAAGATATTGGACAGCAGAAGCTTTGAAAAAATTATGATTTAGACTTTTATCCCCAAGTCCCATTTTCATGAGTATCTGAGCACTTTTCTTCATTGTTAGGTTATAAAAATGTGATTAAAGACCATATTACTTCTGAATCATAGTTTCCAAATTTATTATTTTACTTGATTTCCAGTAATAGCCATTAAAACACAAACCTTTATAATTCTCGAAATATCTCTTTATGAATTAAGCTTATTTAGCTTTCAGTATGAGCTAACTATATGGATGTATCTCTTCTAGACTGTGGAGAATATGCTCTCATAGTTACAGAAATTTTTATGTCCTTTTAGACATGTCAGGATAAAGTCTAAGCAAGACTAATACAAGACAAGAAATACAATCTCATGTTCTCCTTATACAGTTTTGTTGTTATTTCTAGAAGCAACAGAAGCTTACATCTATGTCAAATAATGAGATTGCCCATTGATTTTTCTTTTTTTCCTTACTTACCATTGATTTACACAATCAGCTTTTTGGTGGCCACTCAGAAATTCCTAGACAATAAACCCTACTACAAACTATCTTGTTGCAACTTGGTATCTCTTTGTGATGCAGGAAGGTGAAGAGAAAAACAACAGAAGACATGACTGGCTAATCTCAACTTCCTAGATGTAAAAAATTAGTAGACTGAAATACACAGCCTTCAAGTCTTCCTGTTTGTACTTTACAGAAGAGAACATTCATTACCATGACTGTCAAAATACACATTTTCACAAACAACCTATTTGCATGTTAATTACATAAATAGTATATTTTCTTCCTTAGATGAACGAAGAAGGAGCACATTCAGTAAAACAAAATAAATAAGTACACTACATCACTTTTTGAGCCAGCTCCATTCTTTGATACCAAATCACTAAAACCTTGCACTCAGGAAGCAATCCCTCTCTTGATTCAATCCTACAGCATCCCAGCCAACGGATGAGGCAAGAAGGTCAGCATGACATCAACCTCTGTACACTGCTTCCATACACAGCACTGGCACCATCTGGTGCCCTTCAAAACCTGTTCCCCCAAGTCAATGATACTCTAAGGGAAGCTAATTGTAAGGGCTGCATTAGAGTTGTGATGATCATCAAAACAACTTCTGTTCTCCTCATCTGTTAGAATCACTGAATCACAGAATATCCTAATTTGGAAGCAACCCACAAGAACCATCAAGTCCCACTCCTGGTCCTGTACATGAAAACCTCCAGAATCACACCATGTGCCTGAGAGCATTGTCCCAATGCTTCTTGAACTCTAGCAATCTTAGTGCAATGGCCACTTCCAGTGGAGTCTGTTCCACTGCCCAACCATCCTCAGGGTGAAGAAAGTTTTCCTAATCAATGCTTCTTGAACTCTAGCAAGCTTAGTGCAAAATGGCCACTTCCAGTGGAGCCTGTTCCACTGCCCAACCATCCTCAGGGTGAAGAAACTTTTCCTAATATCCAACCCAAACTTACCCTGACATCTCCAAATCAATCCCTTGGGACCTGGTCACCAGAGGGAAGAGATCAGTGCTGCCTCGCCTCTTCCCCTAATAATGAAGTTTAAACCACAGTGAGATCTCCCCTGACTCTCCTCCTCAGAAAGCTGAACAACCCAAGTAACCTCCGTAACTCCTGTCTTCCCCTCAAGGGGGCTTCCTCAAGGCCCTTCACCACCATCATTACTGTGGTAATGACGGTCAAAACTGCCCCCAGCACTCAAGGTGAGGCTGCCCCAGCTCAGAGCAGAGCAGGACAATCCCCTCCCTTGCCCGGCTGGCGATGCTGGGCCTGGTGCACCCTACAGGGCTGGCCCTCCTGGCTGCCAGGGCACTTCTGACTCACATTCAACCTTCTATGACCAAGGATCCCTGTATTTTCTCTGGGGTACTCTCCAGCCTCTCATGCCCAAGTTTGTATGGATATCCAGAGTTTCACTATCCTGTTGATGAGAACTCTTCTTTCTTGGCTGCCAGATTTCCATGGTTTTAGTTGCATTTACCAGTCTCTCTCCATTTCCACATGGATGATGTAAATTCATTACACCATCAATTTCAGATTTCTGATCATTTAGAGCTTCAGCTTCTGAAATTGATCTGAAACCACAGAGAGCAACCTCAGGGAGAATGCACATCATCCAGGTTCAGACACTGCCACAGCAGGCAGCCTTCTTGAAAGCACAGTACTGCATACATATTCCTATAAAGGTCTTCACAGGTCTTCTTTACCTTTCAAGTAAGGATAGGACAAGAAATCATACATTGCTGGTTTCTAAACATAATGTGTGTGGACGCACCAAACACATTACACATCACACCTACAGCCATGAGACACTACACTGAAACTTCAGCCACTGCTGTAATACAAATTAAAGTTTATTCAATAATAAATAGTATTTTAATTTTATTTACTATTTTATATATAATTACATCTTTCATAGATCTACATATTATATGCAATGTAATACATAATATTACATCTAATATATTAAATATTGGATATAATTCTATAATATATAAAGTATATAACACAGATTATATATGGGATACAGAATCTACTATATATACATTATATAGTCTATAATAAACAATTACATAATAAAATATAACATACCTATTATACTTCATATAATATATTACATATGTATGCTTTCTATATATTTGTTTAAATATTAATAGATTAAAAAATAAATAAAATAAGAAACACCACCAGTTCAGTGGTTTTGCCTGTCAGGCAGAAGGTTAATTATTTTGTACTTGTCAGGATGGCAAATGTTACCAAAATGTGCATGGGCACATTACAAACCACAACACCTTTCTAAACTTAGATCCAAGTCATCTTGGATCTAAGGCAATGAACTGACAAGATTTCTCAGAAAAAGTTTAATCGAAAATGATATGAACTTTTCAGGTAACAGATCAACTGTATGAACAACACAGAAGAGTTTACAAAATACTTAATCAGAAATTTATAATCTTTGAATGACTTAAATTTTTTTTCTTAAGACACAATACCAAACTATTCTCTCATTTTGACAAACATAAATATGTTGTCAATGACAAGTTTTCTTAACTGCTCTATTTAAAGATAATACAAACCTGTTCTAAAGATTCTATTTCGCTGTCTTTGTCTTGCAAAACCTTTAAAATGCTTCTGTCCTTGACTTCAGCTTTCCGTTTTTCTCTGGAAACAAACAAAAAAATAGAAAATTTATTAGTCATAATTTGCAGTTAATCATTTGAATTTTTCATGTCCTGATAATGAATGTCATTTTAAAGCACAGAAAATTAAATTATCTGAAGCTGACAGGCCCAGCTGAATTAATCAGGGAGCATATGGCAAGTGACAGCAAATTACATCTGTAAACATCTAACATAGCTTTGTTCAAAAAGAAACAAAAAGAAGAGGTCTTAATATTTTTAAAACAGCCGAAATTATCTGCCTCTTTTCTTTCCCAAACGCAGAAAGTGTATTTCAACACAGAGTGAGCAAAATGCTTTTGCCCCTTCTTTGCAATGTAGAATCAGCAAGCTACTTCAGTTTGTGAAGCCCTTATCTCAGTTACATTGCATTTTTATGTCTGAAACAACACTTTTGAACATAATTATGGATAATTATTAAAAATTATTATATAATTTGGATAATTATTTTACTATATTCCAGGGGGACAGAATGTGTAACTTATACCAGCAGAAAGAAAAAAAAAGACTCAGAAGCTTGAGTAAGGGGGATGAGCTGAGCCACACTACATGGTTAATAAGTGCACATCTATTATCACCTCTGCAACACTTTGCTTTGTTTAACAAAGTATCTCATCTCATTACTATCTTATTTCTTAACTGAGTTTAAATAATGATGGCCTTGCTGGCTTCCATTTTAGGCAGAAAGAAAACAAATGTTGCAACAATAAGGATATTCATATTCCTTAGCACAAGAATTCTTATCATACATGCGACTAAAGGGCTGAGAAATATATATTCCCTAAAAATATCCAAAAATTTCAGGCAATCCCAGCACCACAGGTGACAGAAGCAGAAACTCATTAAGATTATCTCTAGTCTCACAATACAGTCAAAACTTTTATCAGGGCTGGTATCAGCCACCTATGGAAGCTAGAAAATCCTACTTGAGCAACTCTTCCTCTACCACATAAGGAATATGTCAGAGCTGGAAGGGAATGAAACACTAATACACATAAGTCTGCAAATCTGTCTAAAGTGGATGAAAATATGCAGCTGTACACAAAGGGTTTAATCTGCCAAAGCATTCTGTAACAGTGACCAATAAGGATAGTACATACATGAAGGATTATTTTTCTCCACTATTAGGTCTTACTGTATAGTCTAATGCTAAGAGAGATTTTAAAAACTAAACTACACTGACATAATAGATCATCCAATAACGTGGTGGTTTTTAATAAAGTTTTATGACTGCTAAAATATCTAATCCAATCTTCAGTAAACAAAAAACTAAAGAAAAATGGTATGGAATTTGAAGTGAGGATTTTGGAAACTCAGGTCTCAAGGCATCGTAACTCTAAATACGTCTCTCCTATTTCTAAAATACAGCAAGGATATGCTGTAGGACTTGAAGAAAACTAAGAAAAACCTATCTGAAAAGGTATGCATTTAAGCTACATTTAGCTTAGGAAAAATAAAGATACATGGGAAGCGGTCTTAGTCAGTTGTATTGCATTAAAAAAAAAATCTACTTTGTAAAAAAAATAACTCCGTGCTGTGAAATCAGATGATTAATATTCAACAAGTATTCCAAAAGACATTTCATATCTGAAATGTATTTAACATTTTAAGTGAGAGACAGAAACTTAACAAAAAAATGAACATCAGATACTGACCTTAAAGCATCTCATCACCTGCAATCAAGCCATTGCATGATAGGTTGCTAGGAAGTCATAAGAAGTACGGACAGTTTTTCATAGTTTATTGTTGCAGTTTTGGAGACAGACAAGCGATATGAAATTCCATATTCATGCAGCAACAGCCAGTGTTTACTGAAGGGCAGCCCCTTTTATAGGGACTTCAAATTTCCCACTCATACAGAGTCCACCAACAAAGGTTTCAATTCTGCCCAGTTCACTGGCCAATGATGTGGGCGCATCCTTGGTTCAAGGAATTGGTTGGGGGCCCTTGCTTGAGCCTGAATTCAGCCAATCACTTTCACACTTGCAGACTTGTTTACTTCAATGAACTAACAAGCCAGCTTCTCGAGTTAAGTGTCTGCCGAATCGTTTGTGCAGGTAACAGACCACCTGTAGCTGTCACAGTTTATCTTTGAAAACAAGGCCGAATTGTTTGTGCAGGTAACAGACCACCTGTAGCTGTCACAGTTTATCTTTGAAAACCTACAAGAATGTAACTCAAGTAGACTGTGACTACAGAAATTCATGCAAATATGAAATTATTTAATGCATTCCAAAAGTTACACTGTGATGGCCTTTAAAAAAAAAAGCACCAGGGCCTAAACAACAAACAGGTTTCAAAGCATGACAGGTTATGAAACCCATTTACCTTGCCTGTAATACATATCTAGCTTATAGAAGTCACACTCTCAGCCATGTTTTAAAAAACAGTAAAAGACTTTCTGGTAAGTATATAAATAGGTACAACTTAAATGAAACAAAAACTGTTCCAATATAAAAATATTGGTAAAAGACTTTCTGGTAAGTATAGTTGTACCTATTTATATAGGTACAACTTAAATGAAACAAAAACTGTTCCAATATAAAAATATTAATGTTTCTTCATATTACATTATTTTGCTGTGGGATCCTAAATGGCTATTAACAATTACCCTTTCTCAAAGGCAACAGTTGCAGTAATCAAACCCAAATTATCTGGGGAGGAAGGTTGTCACTCTCCCATAAGCATGCTACACCATAATCTACCTGAGGAAGTGACAGACCTATATTGATCTAAACTGTAAGAAGTGTAATATTCAAAGTTTCCTCAGGTTTTAATTACAGCTAGACAACTTAAGATTTGACACACACTAGCTGATCCAAAATCTTAAGAGCTGTAGAAGACAAAAAGGAAAGTAGGTCATTACTACAAAGTACTTGGAAGAGTCAGGTGCAGACACAGAAAGAACATAGCATTAACCACACACAAGCTGCATGAAATACTGAATAACAATGTATCCAGCCATCAGAAGTATCCTGACCCTAAATCTACCACCCACGATAAGCCATCATCGTCCCAACTCTAACCACCATCTCCTCTCTCAAAGTCAAACTTTCATAAATGGAGACTCAATCAAGACACAAAAACAGTATAATCAGATAGCATCCTAACAGAACTATGCAATCATCACTTGAAAATTATTATTAAACTTGTTCTCTAATGCATTAAATGATCTGAAAATCTGGTAAATTAGATAAGTTTCCCTAAGGAACTTTACAGTTGTGAGTGGTTGATTTTTTTAAATTTATTTTAAGGAGAAAACAAAGGAGGTGAATAAGTGAACCAAGAGCCAGGTAAAAGAACAAACAGCTGTGAAAAGCAGTATGCACAGCTAATTCTGATTTATTATTGGTAGTTAAGAATCTATTGAGCCCTCTGACTTTAGGACATGGTTTCAAAACATGGGTTCAGAGAATAAAGTCTGTGACTGGAGAGCAAAAGAAAGAAACAGATCACTGTTAAAGCAAAAAATATGACTGTAACAGAGCTACATCCTAGCCAACAGTTCACAGCACGTTTCTAGTTAAATGCAGCATTTTCCACCTATCCAATGCTTGGTAAAACAGTCCTTCAAACAAAGATGTCAAAGAACATTGGGTTTATAAACACAGATCTATCATCATCATAAAGAGTGGTGAAAGTTTAAATATATTTAATATATTCTGTCCTTACAATGTTTTCTTTCAAGTTCTCTAGATACCACATGCTTGCTAAGGCCCCCAAAAACAGTTTAACATGTAACCACCCATAGATTAAAAAAAAAAAGTTTAAATTATTTGAAGTTAAGTACACAATGGAAGTTGTTCGAAGCCTAAAGTATATACTGCAACCTCAAATGCAACTTTATCAGCAGTTTCTCCTAATGGCATAGGACATTTTCCCATAGCTCTCCAAAGACACTCAAGGCAGTATTTCAGACTGGAACTTATATATCATATTTGGATCTGCTGTCACACAATAAAATGGGACTTGATAGGAATTGCATTCATCATCTCTTCTTCTTTTAAAAGGGTAACAAATATTCAGAAAAAAAAGTCTTTGAACAACTTCATTCATTGGGCTATTTTGTATTAAAATGTATTAAAATGTATTTTTAAAAAAGGAATGGAATATGGGGGGAAAAATTCAGGCACTGTCAGGAAGCTGATGATGATCAATGACTGAGACAAATTCCTGTTTAGCTAATTAGAATCACTGATGAGCAATAATGATGTGAGCTAAGAATATTTGCAGACTTCTTTAGGATGAAAAATGGAGTGAAGAGAGGCTGTCAATTTGTACAAGTTCTAAGCTCCAATCAGTTTTCCCATGAGTACTACCTATTTTAAATGTTTAACACAGATGCATTTAGCTACCAAGATTATCAATATTCAGCTTCCCACAAAAATAAAGAAACTGATAAAATATTCTTAAACTTGACATTATGATTTTCTTCCTGTATTACACTCTACTCAATTATAGAACAAGACAACGTTCTTGATGTTTGGCACCATTTTAATGGCTTGCCAAAGATGAAACATTAGACTTTGAGAAAATATTTATCCATGAATGTGATATAAAAACAGCAAAAACCTTTATATTTAAAAAACCAGAAGTCTGTTCAAGTTTTTAAACAACATCCTTTCTAAAATCTTCAATAAAAGCAGTGCAAGCAAAGAGGTATCTTGTACTGTACCACAGGTCTTAATCAAACAAGCACTTAACCATTTGTCAAGAAAAAGTAACTCAGAGTTGTCTATAATTATGTCACATTTACATCAATTAAATGAAAGTAAATTTAATTAATAAATTGAATTTGCTGTTTACATGTTTCAAGGAATATATCCTATCAGTTTTACAAATCACTGAATTAAAAAAGCCGAAACAAATCAATAAAACAAAACCAACCAACCAACAAACCCCACAAACAATAAATACAACAACAACAAATAAACCCCACAAAAACAAACAACCAACCACCAAAATCCAAAAAAACCCCCAAAACATCACATAATCAAAATCATATCTACAAATTTGGTGTTTTAACAGAAAGTTAAGACTACACTGCAAACTTTGGACAGTGTGGTAAAACGGTAAAGGCTGCATTTTAACAGTATCTCTAAATATAATAAACTGCTTCTAGAAACACTGTGACTTCTGAAAGACATTTCACTAATTCTAAAGAGCTGCAGAACTAGAAAGGCTATAAAATATCAGTTTGTGTGATGCAGCTTTCATTTGATTACCTTATCTCCCTGCCCTCCAACTTCCAAGTATTTTACAGACTTCCATACTTCGCACATTCTCTGTTTGTATTAAATAGATAATTAATCACCCATGTGCAAAGTAAAGTTATAGAGCACAGACTGTCAATGTTATGGTAAATATGACACCAACACTGTAATTACTGTGTACAGTCACATCCCTGTGACTGCACAGTCATTGGTCAGTAGAGACAGAGCCTATGCCTTAATCTTCCAAGTAGAAAACTCACTGTATTTCCATGTACTAAGAACTGATTAAAAAAAAAAAAGCTAAATCATTTTCACTTACTCATGAGTTTCATTTCATCTAAGGCTCTAGAAGATCCTTATACTTCATGAACTACAACTGATAGACATAATTACTTTTTTCTTTTAATACTTATAATTCGTACTTTTAAAAGAGCATGGAGCAATAAAGAATTTTAATGAATACCACACATTTTACACTTTTCTAACTGCTTTTCTAACAGTAGTTACTTTCTATAAAAAATTGTATATATCTATTTTTCTTTAAAAAATAATTTAAGATCTAATTACAAATGTTAAATGAAATTGTTTCCTTAGTAAATTATCTATAGAGCCAATTCTATATTGCACGATATGTGTCAAAATGAAAAGGCATCATTACAGCAACATAAATTTTCTTGTTCTAACTTGATTGATTTAATTTATTAGATGATATATTAAGGAATAAGACTCTCATTTTAAGCATATGATGTCTTATTTTAAGCAACATATATAAGATACTAAACGTATTTTTGCACTAAAATAGTACAAAAAATAGTGAAATTTTTGTCCAATAATTTTGCAAACATTTTTCATCTAAAATACACAAGTCTTTTACAGTGTTCAAAATATCAGCACTTCAGAACAGACTGCTTTAACATCTGCACATCACCAGGGTTTCCCCCAAGGATTTTTAAATGATGCCTGCCTGTGCTGAATAAAGTGCTAACTTGCACCTTGCATTTCAAACTGTGTCCTGAGCAGCCATCCAGTTGGTACAACACCAGCTGAATTCCCAGAGGCCACTGTTCAATCAGGCTTGACTGCAATTATCATGTCAATATTTTGTGCTCCGATATGCAGATATGCACACATGCAAACTGCATAATACCTTCTTCTCCATGGAATGTTGACTTATGTTCAACGTTCTGAGAATTTTTAATGAAACAGGATATTAAACTTTCATTAACTATAGAAAATCACAATTATTTGACCTTAGCCACAAAGGTTGTACTCTTATGCTCTATTATTCTGTCCACTATATTGTGATCGTAACTGGACAGTCCATTGTATTTTAAATTCAGAGTGACAAAATGGTAATACCTTACATCTTGTTTACATCATTGTCCTCCTGCCATTTTGTTTCCTGTTAATTTGTAAAAGGGTGTTTTAAGAAAGCTTCTACACAATGTTTACCATGCCTTCAAAAAGATGCGAGATACAGATTTTTAATTTTTTCAATTAACCTAGGCACCTATAGTGTTCATCCATACAGCACATATTCACTTATCCTTTTTACATAAAAAGTACTCGCCATTTTCAGTAAATCTGCAAATCAGCAGATCAGTGAAGAATCTATGTCAACCTGTTTATGTTTTTTCCACAATTTGCTATTCACAGGATGCTGCAAACCACAGTGTAAGCTCCTGCAATTACCTTTCCAAAAATTCTTGGGTTATTTTTTATCTCTTGCTTTTCAGCCATATTTCTGTCCATCTGTTCACCTTTAGACAGATGTAACTCCTCAGGAAGAACAAGAATAAAAACTCTCAATCACTGGCACTTACATTCAGGTTGCCACTGTTTCTTAAGAGTAGCCTGAAATGATAAAGCCAACCTTTGCCTTTGTTAAGACCTGCAATACACAACACACTTGAAATCTAGATGTGGAAAAACCTCTGCATAGGCAGGCTTGCCAAAAGAAAGTACACCATCTCACATAATACAATCCCCATGTACATCTACCAAGTCTTATATCATTGCCACAGTTTGATTGTTAATGGATCCTGCTACATCCCCCTTCCAGAAGAAAGGAAAAGAGTCAGCTAGAAGCCCTATTGGAAAATTAGTCTGTTGACTCGTCAAGCTTGCCTGTACTATAGAAAGAAGAGTCTTAAAGCAGAGCTCTGAAGTTTGCAAGAATACTTCAAAACCATTCATACTCTTGTCTGAACCCAACTCCATTTCAGTTTACACATACATTTCCTTAATATGAGCTATTTTCTAGCAATTTTTTTTAAAATCATAAAGAACAATCTATCAAAAAGCAGCAAACTAGAAATAGCATATTCTTTACATAATACTGAGATCAATAGTATTTAAAGTAGCTGAAAAGTATACTAACATGAGTAGTCGTTTTAAAATGGCTTGTTTAAAATACCTGGAGGCTTTTACATATCCCAAAGGTATTTCTCATTTGCACAGTAAAGATAATTTTTTGTTTATATCTGAATATTAAATTGGGAATGCAGTTACAGTTATCCAGCAAGAACTGCAAAGACTGCTGAAAAGTATAATATCATTGGTGTATTACAGGAATCAGCAGCATAACCTTAAATAAGTACAGGCTATATTTTTACAATTCTAGGGCAGGAGAACTTCTATTTTGGGGCAATGAAAGCATTTGAAAATAACAGAGAAATAACAGCAAGGTAGTAGTAATTTCCCCCTATGCCCCCCAAATTGTATCTTTTATATTCTCCTGGTTTGTTTGGAAAGATACTGTAAGGTATTTTCTAATGCTACAAATACAAATTACCTTTCTGTAAAGCTAGTATTGCCCACTCAATTCTTCCTAATATGTATTTTCTTTTCTTCATCACACACCTGTGGTGTAAATTGTAAGGTTCTAAGTGAAAATTTTGTCCTGCCTCTTTCTATTCTTTCTGTAATCTTGTGAAGAAAGCCTAGCTGTCTCTTTCATCAATTTAATGACTGAAATATACTGAACAGCATTTGATTCTTTTTATATAAATATATATGATCTAGGAAGGTACACATGCCTGTGCTTTCTCTAGATTCTGTCTGCCTCCATTACTTATATGGCTTATATGACCTCAGGGAGTCTCAAAGATTTGGTGGGGAATGGAAGTTTATCGTCCATGGAATTTCTGGTGGAAAGAGCACACGAAAAATGAAGCTATGCAAACACTAGTGGTATCCATGTCACAAGAAAAAAAAAAAAAAGTGTAAATCCATCCCATCCCATTCTGTTTGTTTCTATCTCAGAATCTCACCATAAGCCTGAGTAAGATAGAAAAAGTTCTGAATTTGAATATGACTGGGTTTCTGTTGTTCCTAACATAGATGAGACAGAAAAAAAATCTGTAAGATTTAAATGTTTTTTATTAGATTTTAGTGTAAATTTTCAATTTCCAGCTTATCTGAAACTCTGTATAATATAGAAAAAAGCAGCACAGATCCTCCCAAGTGACATTCTTCACAAATCATCTTGTTTATAACAGTTATCTGATCATCCAATCTTTTAAACTCTTTGGACCCATGCATTTTTCCCAGATTAACAAAGCCAGAAAACCTATTGTCCTGTAATTTTCTGGACAGCAGCAGTGGTAGATAGCAGATTCCCTCTAGAGGCTATCAATGTACTAGAACTAAGATAAACTGATACGAGCATAAAAAAACCCCCCATATTATTTACTCCTATAAGGTAGGGAGTAAGACAAAAAGTTTTCTGAAAGGATGAGGGTGTGAAGAGGTACAGTCATGAAACTGAAGCTACTGAGGAGGAAATCATTATGCAGAGTAATAACAGGAAAAGTTAGGATAGAATTTATGGGGCTGTAATTTGGTTGTGCAGAAGTTTCACGGGCAAAGCTGGGCTAGAAACTATTTCCAAAATGGCAATTAGACCATTCTCAGGCAAAAGAGATGAAGCTACATCAATTAAAGAGAAAAACACACACTATTGCTCCATCTGTCAAATCAAAGCAACCCCGAAGTTCAAAGTTGTGATTAATAAAACTCCTATATACTGAATGGGTTTTATCCACACCTATTCCAGGATTCTCAGGAGTAATGATAACACCTAAAAAGATGCTGTGGAAGCAATTTCTTCTTTCTTAATTCCGTAATTCAGAGAAGCATGGAAAAGCTGTGATATACATGTATAGCCTTGAGTTCAAAAAGGTTCTAAAGCATTAGTGTAATTCTAAAGAGTAGAGGGCAAAAAAAAAATTGGACAGAACATTAATAGAAGTGTGTTGGCAGGGTTTCACATAGCAATCACCAGCCTCTAAACAGTGCAAAAAAATTTCAGCTTATTATCCTGCTTTTGTGCATCAAGGTGGTATATAAGAGGGCCATATTCACTGTAACAATAAGGATAATACACAAAATTACCAACTTCTGTTCTAAATAAAGCATAAAACAATTTAAAGCAAGGGACATCTATCAAGCATAAAAATATCTGTCGACATGAAAAATAATAGACAAAGCAGAGAGATGTGTAGACACACAATTCAAGAACTCCTAATAATCCATTTGTTGACCATTATTTAAATATATGCTTTCTAACATCTCTGTGCTTCAATTCATTCTAACATCCTGATTATTTTTATATGCAACATAAAGTAATAAGCCTGAACACTTGCTTCAGCCTTCTTAACCTTCAGGTAAAAGAACTACAATTTTCCATATTGTTCAGCTATCTATAAAATGTGGTTAGGACAATAAAGTTTTTTATATTTTTCACTATAATTATGCTTATATACATGCAAAGTAAGTTTACATATATTAAATACTGTATTTATATGTTTTAAGCAGTTCTCTCCTTTTTTTTATGTTTTATGAAGGAAGATTAATTCTACCACCAATGTCTTCACAAAAACATGACCAAATTTTATTATGAAACAAACCAGTATGATTTTGCATTTCAATATAAATGAATGCTATGAATTTGTGCATGTCTTCATCATATATTAAAATTATTTCCCAAATCAAACCTGAAAACAATAGTAAGAATAGTATACTGTCTAAACAGCCAAGTTATTACTCTGTGCAGTTAAGTGTCCCAGTACAAAGCCAGCAGCTACTTGATATCATCACTGGAGACCATATGTGAACCCCCAATAACAGCTGTCTTCAAAATAAGTTGTGTGGTATTCACATGCCCTCTGAACAGAGTGGAATTATGAGACAAGCAGAGAAGAAGAAAAACATAACCCTTATCTCTCTTGATGTGCTGAAGTGGAATACAATATGGAGATTATTTACCCAAAGTGAGGATGTTTTGTTCCCTTGGCCTATTAGGGCCAAGAAGTGTGTGTGAGTTGAGACTGTCACCGGACAGTCACGAGAGAATCAGAGATGAGTGTAGTTCTGTGCAGTTGTGTGCAGAGTGAATGCATGGCAGATTCAATTTAGATGCAATGTATATAGTATAGAAGAATAAAGTAATTTTTTAGCCTTCTGATGATGGATTCAGATGCATCATTCTCTACCTCACACACATCGTGAGTCGCCCTTGCTTTGATAAAGCTGCATGTCCTTACATCATCACTGTCTTCCTCTGGATATGAATCCTTTAGATTATTACCTCTAGTTACATGATCACACTCTATTTTTTCACAAAATTTTTCAGTGCTTTATGCAAGGTAGAGCAGGGGACAACACTATAAAAAATAGTGCGAGAGAGCGGATCTCATCAATACCTATAAATATCTCAAAGATGGCTGTCAGGAGGATGGGGCCAGACTCTTTTCAGTGGTGCTTCAACATGAGGCAGAACTTCTTACACTGAGGGTGGCAGAGCACTGGAACAGACTGCCCAGGAAGTTTGTGGAGTCTCCCTTTCTGGAGACATTCAAAAACCACCTAGACACATACTTGTATAACCTGCTTTAGGTGACTGCCTTGGCAGAGGGCCTGCACTAGATGATCTACCAAGGTCCCTTCTTTACCCTAACAATACCACGATTCTGTGAAATGCCCTCCCAGCTAAAGAAGTTAATACTGTATTTTCACAAGTGAAAGAACATGACAGAAGAAGTTCAGGAAGGAAAGATGTGAACAAAACATGCCTTCTAAGCTCAAAACACTCAATGGAAACCCAAAGGAGCCAGGACCACTCATGAATCTATAACAAGCTTCCCAAATAAAATTGGCATGCAGTTTAAAAAAGTTAAAATCCATTCTTTTTCTCTTTTTAGAAAGATTCCCTTTTTCGTTTTAAAAAAGAGAACTCATTACACCCTAAGATAATTGTTTCAATTCTGACAGCCAACTCATTCACATTCTCCTTATCTTTCGCCTACAAAAAAAATCTGAATTAATAAATATTAGCATTCCAAAACAATCAAGTGCATACTGTGATAATTAACTAACATTTATAGGAATCAGATAATAGTAAGTACCATGAATAAATCACCACCATTACTATCCTCAGAGGAATAAGCTCCAGAAGTAAGATCCTACTTGTCAGTGTTAATGGAGAAAGAAGCTCTTACAGTCAGGGACAAGTTCTTCCCCCAGCAGGTGGTGAGGCACTGGAACAGGATCCCCAGGTAAGTGGTCACAGCACCAGCCTAGGAGAGTCCAATAAGCATTTGGACAATGCTCTCAGGCACATAATGTGATTCGTGGTGTACCCTGTGCAGAGCAAGGTGTAGGACTCAGTGATTCCAACCTCTTCCAATGCAGCATGTTCTATGATCCTATGATAGTTACCTCTTCTATTACCAAGACCTAGCTTTTCACTTCCTCAAGAATTGAGATAAACATACTTTATATATAACTGCTACCCAACAGCTTATGACACTGGAAAATTACCAGTCATTTTCCTCCTCCTGCTCTTTTAATAGGAAAATAAAATACAGCAAGACATTTATAATTTTAAAACAGTATTGAACTGCAGCACAGCAATTTCAGTGAGAACAGATTTTAAAGTATGCTTCAACTTGCACCAAAAAAAGGAGAAAATTTGCAATGTATTCTAGGCACCCTTGATGAAATTTAACAATTAAACTTTCAATTCATTTTTAGAACTCTACATAGTTCTCAATTAGAAAGATAAAGAATATGGTATCAGCAGGGGAGGTTGGTTGCTTTTTGGTTTTAGAAGCATGTTAAATCTTCAAACTCAGTTTTGCACAACCAAGCTGACGGCTTGAGTAAGGTCTGGTTTTGACACCTGGAGATGTTTCCAAAGAGACCACACAAATTCTTTATCAGCCTTAGAAATAAGGGAAAAAAAAAAAAGAAGAAAAAACAGATTACATGTATAATGCCTTTTACAGACAAAAAAAGGTTATACTGATCATATTCAAAAGACAATTGCCAAGAAAGCCCTAATCTACTGAGAATACTCTGCAAGTTACTCACTGTTCCATGAAAACACAGCCAATGGTTCTCCAGAATAAACAAAATTTTAACCATACAGAATATTGAAGTAAAATAAACACCTACAATCAACATTAAAATAGTAAGCAATGTAACATATGGCAGCAGAACTTACATTATTCAAACAAGGCTGCTTTTTGCTACATCTATTACTGTTACTGACACAATTTATATCAAATGCTAAGCCTAGAATACCTACTTCACCATTAAGTTTTACCACACGCAGCTCTTTATTTCAAAATATACAGTAAAACAGTCTTCTAACACACAGGCACCTAACCTGCAGTATACAGAAGTTTCTGAAAGAAAACACAAGCGAGCAAGGAAACACTGTTGTTTACAAATAGACTTCAGAAGGTTTGTGAAAACTAGATGTCAGCTAAAAGCTTTCCCACATTTGTATTTTCTACTACACATTAGCTGTTAGTTTTCACTGGTGTCTTGTTATTTCAATATTATTTTAATACTGGAAGGACCAATATTAGTTATTTTACAATCTAAACCCATGTGTTGATGATATAAAAATGTTAGGGGAGAAAAATAAAATCCAGCAAAAGACAAAGACCAGTAAGGCAATATGTGTATATAAACCATAGTCCAGACTAGGATGAGACCTACTAAAACAGTCTCACATAAAATTAGGAACTAATGAGCTAAACCCACACCATACTGGCAGCTAGGCCTATTCAACAGGCAAAAATAATTACAGTGCAGCTATGTCTACTAGTGTTTTGGAAATAGAAAATCATTTAGACTGGAAAAGACATTTATGGTCAAGGCATCCAACCAGTAACCTAATATTGCCACATCCACCACTAATCCCTACATGCCACATCTACACGGCTTTTAAATATTGACAGGGATGGCAACACCCCCCACTTCCCTGAATAGTCTGTTCCAGTGCCTGACGGGAAATTCTTTCTAACGTCAAACTTAAAAGTTAAAAATCAAAGTGCCCAAAAGATCTTGTAATCCAAGACCATTATCAACTTATGCTGCTATGTACTACACCAGAAAGAGTTAATTTTTCTTAAAAGCAGAAAAATTTAAACTGTGTTTCACAGGTTGTGCACAGCTTTTAAAATGCTGTGTTTTTTGAATTTCCAAACAAAATCAAATAATTACCAAAAAACTTTGTTCAAAAATAAAAGAGAAACAAGATGTTTCTGAAATACTTGAAAAAAACACAAGCCTTCTCTAATCAAATTAGGTTACTAGTGTAAGCATTCTTTTCAAAACTATAAGTGACCCTGCTGCATGTAAACAGTAACTAACTGGATTATGGTGCACTACATTGATTTTTAAAGAAAGGTAACACAAAACCTGAACTGAACACAAGATAATTAGTAATTCAAATGACTTTGCATCAGTATCCAAGTCTTTGCTCAGTACAAGTGCTAACAATAGGTTAACTTTCAGCTCAGAATTAAGTTAAAATATAAAACACTAAGCACCATATTAATTGGGATACTAAGTAAAATAAAAAAGTACAACCCCTAATTTCATCCTATCACCTTACACATTCAGTATACTGAACTTCTATGTATCAGTGGGAAAGACTATGAAAAGAGTGCACTTGTTTCACATCCTCACAAAAAAAGACACTATCTCCCAAAAATGCCTTGCCAGGCCACCTGAAGAGTTACAATGTGTGTAGACTGTGAACCAGCATGACCTACTGCTTCTACTTGGGCAGAAACAGAATTAAAAATAAAAATGTTTTTCAAATTTGGACAACTGCTGCAGGCTTCCAAAAAGCATTAGGATCTACACAGAAGCCGGATTCAGAGTAATTTTAACATCCAAAAAAATCTTGTGTTTATGTTGGTAAGCTGGGGGGAAAGCAAACAAACAAAACAAACACACAAAAAACAAGCCACAAACCAGACTAAACCTCTCTAAACAATAGCAAATAAATTATTTCAAAGGACATTAAATCAGTAGTCCTTCCAGCCTAAATGACACTACTTTCATAGAATCAATTAGGCTGGAAACAACCTCTGAGATCAAGTCCAACCTATGACGAAACACCACTGTGTCAAGTGGTCCATGGCACTAAATGCCACGCCCAGTCTTTCCTTAAATACCTTCACGGACAGTGACTTCACCTCCTTGGGCAGCCCATTCCAATGCCCCATCACTCCTTCTGTGAAGATATTCTTCCAAATGTTCAACCTACACCTCTCCTGGCACAACTTAAGCCTGTGTCATCTTGTGCTATCACTGGTCTGTGAGAAGAAACCGACCCCACCTGGCTACAGCCTCCTTTCAGGCAACCAAAGAGGGTGATAAGGTCATCCCTCAGTCTCCTTTTCTCCGAGCTAAACAACCCCAGTTCCTTCAGTCGCTCCTCACAAGACCCACGTTCTAGACCCTTCACCAGCCTTGAATCTATGAATCATAATAACAGGAATAAACCACTGCATCTACTTCAATTTTAGAATACTTTTAATTCAAATTGCTCAACTAATCAGAAATATGGAAAGCAGAAATTACATGATAATAGCATTTGAGCATTTATATTTAATACAGAATTCACTGTGTCTTTCACTGTCATAAATCACTAAGAAATCAGACCAAAGGCCACAAAATCATTACAGGAGAGAAGACCCAATATAATGAAGTGCTAATAGTATTCTACCTGAAAACACTCAGAAATCCTTAGTCAAGCAAACAGTCAAAAGTTTCTTATGCTGATTGATGACTTCATGAGCTATGTTTAGGTAAGTTTGTTAATCTATTTAAAGTCTTGGATCTGCTTATGAGCCTGCTTCCTTAACATTCCCCTTTACTGTCCCAAATACAAAACCAGAGGTAGCTGTTGGGTTTTCTGCTTAGTTTTTTATATATTAGAAGAGCTGAGACCCTTGGGCTTCCATATGAGTCTAAGAAGCACTATCAAACACCATGAAACTCCCTACAAGCAGGGGTGTCTGCTTTTTGTCCTACCATGCAAATTCATATATATTCCTGGTCCCAGCTGGGAAACAGTTTGAGGCAATCCAAGAACATGGAATAGTACGCTTTCTTCTGTTACAAAATAAAAGCAAAAAAAATGGAAAACCACAGCAAGAGGTATTGAATTGTTCCCAATGAACAAATATGTACTATATATATATGTACAATAAGAGGGAAGTCTTCACATTCCTCCCATAGTTTTTGCTCAATACACAGCATTTACTGAGCCGCTGACAACTGAATTTCCACCTAAATTTTCCAAAATCTCTCTTTGGTAACACAAAATTTCAACAAACATTCCTAATGAGAACACAAACACTCAGGTACAAACTATCTCTTCTAACAAGCAGTTTAGTTCAATTTAACCTGTTACTATTCCACAAACAGGCTACTTTAAATTGTCCAAAGAAGAGTAAAAATCAGCCACAAATTTGTACTCATGTCAGTTATGAAAGGAATGGCAATTTCACTAAGTTCTGTAACTCTTCCATCTGTGCTAAAAGAACACTAGATGAAACAACATTAAAAAACCCATCCTGACTGTAAAATAAAAAATCTTCTTTGTAATAATCAATATTGAATGACCACTCAACAAACTTCAAAGAAACAGCTACACAGAACAGGCTAAAAGGTGTCCATTAAATGATAAACAAATAACAACTGCAACCACAAAACACAAACCAAAGCCTTCACAAATCCTATGGAAGTAAGCAAAAAGTCACAGGAATTTCCAAAGCTGCGAAACAATGATATTTCAATACATATTGTTTATTTTTTATGATGACAAACTGAGATTTAAAGTTACTACTGCAAATTATGAATGAGCATACACAGAACTATAAAGAAATGCTGCAAATATATCAACAGATATGCTAAATTAAATCATCATATGCCTTTCACTATGCACCCAGTATGTACTTTAACTTCTCTAAATGCACACAAAACTAAGCAATGTTCTGCCTAAGTGTACCTCTGCCAAAGGAATAAGGATGCAAATGCATCTTCAAATATTACCAGTAATGAAAAAACCCAATCAAACAAAAAAACCACGAGTTCATCCAAAGTTAAAAATATGAGAACTTTATTTCATAAAAGGAAAGCTTACACAGAAGTTAACAAAATTTTTCATTACTGCAACAAAGTATTACAAAGAAATTAGTCAAAGAATGTTGAGTTACCATACCTGAATTCTTCTCTTTAACATGCCAAACATTTTAATGCCTATCTCATTTAAATCTCAGTAATATGATTAATTAAGCATTATGTATAATGGAAGGAATATGAGTTAGAAATTATTAAAGTTTAAGATGAAAAGAAGTGTAAACAGCCTTTTTAAGCTCTTGGCAGAATTCATGGACTTGGTAAAGTTTTCCCTGCATGGCCCTGAAAGCCAAACAATTTTTGTGGAAAAAAGACTGCTTACTTACTTACACTGTCTGAAGCTGGCACAGAAAAACACTGCAGCTGTCAAGGCCTGGGATGTATCAATCTTCAAAGAACATTCAGCCCACTCAAGTGCACGTTAACAGCTCAAGAGGTCAGCAAGAGTGTACCTTGAACAGCTGAGATCTTATATAAAGGCAGAATACAGATGCCATTTGAAAGCCAGCAAAAATTACTCATTACTTAGAGCATATCTAATGTCAGATAAAGACGCTCACCCTGCAATCAAGTTTGCATGAAGGGCAAAAATACTCTGAAAAAAGGAAGCAGCACATTGTGTATTCCCTGAAAAGTCACACTTTTCCCCTCAGCCTACAGTTGAAGTGATTGTAGTTCATCATACTGAGAGACAAAAAGAAATTCAGACTACCCTAGGCTTTAAATGTCTTCTTTGCAAAGTAAACTGGATTTTTCTTACTGATTTTTAACAGG